ATATATATATTTATATATATATTTTTTCTCTTCTTCACTCTTTAAAAAAACTATTTTGTTCTGCACATTGGCAAGTTTAGGATAGAATACTTCCCCGAGCATACAGTATGTATGGTAGGAGTGAAACTTAAAATTACATGCAGTTTCTGCACAAATATTTTAAAGAAATAGATTATCTTTGTTGTCTTTCAACAACATTTCGATAGGGGATGGAGAAACCATTCGTAGTTCACTCAGTGACCATTTGTAAAATTCTTATAAAACAGGAATTCATGGCTGTTTTTCTTTTTAAAACACAGCTACCAGGTAGACAATAAAGTGATACTTTTTAGTTTGACCTGCCCACAATGTGTGAGCAAGATCGGACCCTTTTTGTTCTGGTTGTTTTTTTTTTTCCCTATACATGGCAAATTCAATATTATAAGCAAATTTCCAGTTTAATTTAGCTATAAATGCAAAAATTAGTAATTATACAGTATATATAATTCTGCTTTCATGGAATATTTTATTTTAAATAAAAACATTTAAGACTGCCTACTGACCGTACAATCAAGACAAGAAAGGCACTAGAAACATAGACAAATCTCTCTCCCCCAAGAAGCATTTTCTTTAAATTTTATCTCTCTGTTCTCTGACATGTAAAAATCTTTTTAAATTTAGTTTTCATACACATTTTGAAAAATAAAGTTAGGAAATACTTAGAAAATCACTTTACAACGTTTTTCTTTTGTTTTTTTTTCTCTTTTTTTTCAATTTTTTTTTTTTTTTGCACTTTTTGACACAGTCACCGCAGATTCTACAAAATTAAGATTACCAAACCTTTCTGCGTCTATCATCTTATTTGTAGCGTGGTGCAACAGGTAGAAAGATTTCTCGATTTTACCCAAGGCAGGTATTTAGAAACCTTCACATAGTCATTTGCTAGAAAATGGCTTACAGCCCAATCTTTGGGGCAAGAGATATGAAAAGTTATGTTTTCCCAAGAAAATAATATGCTTTATTCCCAGACGTGACTGGAAAGACCAGAACTTATGATATAAAAGCTTTCGTTTATGCTGTTGCATCATATACAAAGGAGCATGGTGATGGGGAAATGTAAATCCCAAATCTATCAACGAGAAGGGTGTAACAGTGCATGAGAAGTTAAATTTTCTTTATTGTTGTCCAACGCAGATCCTTTGGAGAGAAAAAAAGATCACAGTGCTTACCAGGTAACTGAATAGGTTAAGTCAAGGGAACTGTTAAAAGAAAGGGGTTAGGGAGCAGTTGATATTTTCTATTTTTTTTTTGTATGGCATCTTCTCATTCCGAGTTCTTAGCACTTGGGACAGGTCCTTCTCCTCCCGTGTTGCCCATGGACACGCTGTTACGTGTCGTTCACCAGGCGGCTGTATTTCACCTGCCTGCCCCGGTGCAGCACCGGCCAGGGAAAGGGCCAGTAGTAGGAGCGAGGTACAATTCCTTGGACATTCTTTTCGAAGTACTGGAAGGGCTTGTACCACCAGACCCTTGCAAGGAGGTTAGTTTGGGAAGCTTCTTTTAGCACCTGCACAAAGACAAGCAGAAAAGGGAGGGTTACACAAGAGCGCAGCGCTTACTCGCATCAGGTCATCGCTCGCTACTACTCGGCGGTGGCGGCGTCTCACTTCCAGCTGCTTGCAAAAATCTCTCTGTGTCTAGAAACACCTCCCAAGCAGATCTGCACGGATAAAGGTCAAGATGAGTCAAGCTACACCTTCACAGCCTCCCTGCGCACACCAAACGCTTCCATGTGAGGGTCATGACCTCAGCTGTTC